TACATCAGTTCGAGTTGCCACACCACATTAGCACAGAGATTCAGTTGTCGATTCAAATCCCGTAGTGGTAGAGGTAATAAGAGTATAAGCAGTAATCGGGAAGATTAGGGTTTGGAGATGTTATTCAAGGAGTATAATCCAGTGAAATAAATTTGGAAAGAGGAAAAAAGGGACATGAAGAATTCAGAAGATTAGAATTTGGGAGAACACAGAGAGTGGATGCACCTGCGCCATTGCAAACGATTTTGAGCCATGTCATTCAGGGTCTCTAACCATCGGTTGCTATCATCTCGCGGTCCCCAACCAGGTAGTCTGCACCTACCAACATGACTCAGTCCACTTGTCAGTGACTTCATGGACTTGTGCCATGTTTTGGTTTGACCGCCTCTAGCTTTCTTCCAACCTACTCCTATACCACTGAACATAGCACGTCGAGGCAGTCGGTCGTTGGGCATACGTAACACGTGTCCCAGCCACCTCAACTGATGAAGTTTCACTACTTCATCAATTGATTTGCCATCCTTACCTAGTACCCGATCCCTAACAACTATGTTACTTACTCGATGGTCCCAGGATATACGAGCAATATTTCGAAGACACCTATGATCAAATACTAGTAACCTACGAATATCCTCTACTCTTACCGGCCATGTTTCACTGCCATAAAGTAGGACAGAACGAACTGCTGCGCAGTAAACCCGTCCTTTGGTTGATAGACGGATATCTCGCCTACGCCATAAATGACGCAAGTTGGCAAAAGCTAGTCGAGCCTTCTGTATCCGTGCTGAGATTTCGTCACAAACCAGACCACAAGGGCTGATGAGACTTCCAAGATAAGTGAAGCGGTCGACACACTCAACTACTTCACTCCCTATCACTAGTTCGGGTGTCGATGTAACCCAATCCTGAAGCAACATTTTGCATTTCGAGGGAGAGAATCGCATCCCGAACATGCTTGCATTGTTGCTTAGAGTGGTCAGACAACTCTGCATTTTGTCAGCGTCTTCACCAAATAAAACTATGTCATCTGCATATTCTAAGTCAACAAGTGAACCTCCTGGTAGAAGTTCAACCCCTGGAAATTTAGATGAGGAGTGTTAGCTCTAAAAGTACGTCGACCACAAAGTTGAACAAGAATGGGGAAAGTGGACAGCCCTGACGAACACCACTTGAGGTAATCAATTCTGATGACAGTTCGCCATAAGCTCTCACTCTACCAGTTGTGTTCGAGTAGAGAGCCTTTATAAGGTTAATGTACTTCTTTGGTACTCCTTTCAGTGACAAACACTGCCACAGAACCTTACGATCAACAGAGTCAAATGCCGCCTTAAGGTCGAGAAATACTACCATTGTGGGGCGTCTGAACGTGTGTCTGTGTTCTAGAACCTGACGTAGTGTGAATATCTGATCTATACAACCACGTCCAGGTCGAAAACCGGCCTGGTTTTTTCTAATCTGCTCTTCACGAGCTTTGATTAGGCGTCGAAGTATTATTGAAGCTAATATTTTAGACACTATATTAGTCAAACTGATTCCTCTGTGATTGTCACAGGAGGATTTTTGTCCTTTCTTATAGACTGGCACAATCAGTGATTGAGACCAGTCAGATGGGATTACGTCCAGTTCCCAAATTCCACCTAAGACCTCGGTTAATCTCATTGCTAATACTGGACCACCGTGCTTAAAAATCTCAGGAGTAAACCTGTCAGGGCCTGCTGCTCTCCTTCGTTTCAGATTTCCTATGGCTTTTTCAACTTCGTAAAGAGTTGGAGGACTTACACCAACTTGCCATTCAGGTCGACTAGAGATCGTGGGAAACCGAAGTGTGGCTGAAGGCCAGTTGAACTGATCCCTAAAGTGTTCTGCCCATCGATCCAATCTCCTGGATTGAGAATGAATAATATGTCCATCTTTCTCTGAGATTGTTTCGCTAACGGTTGGGTTCCTAATTCCGGTTTCCTTAACGAGTCTGAACAATTGTCTGCTATTACCTAATGCCGCTGCCTTTTCCATCTCTCTTGCTTTCGCTACCCACCACTGTTCGCGATCATTGCGTAGACTTATTGTCAGCTTGCGCTTAAGCTGACTCCGATCTTCATTATGTTCAGAGCCAGGTGGAATGAGTTTCCGAGCATCTATCAATGCGATAGATGCTGCTGAGATCCAGTGTTGCTCCCTAACCTTCTGGTTTACCTTACTAGCAGATATCAGTGCTGTTTCCACAGCTTTTCGGATATCATTCCATGCTGCCTCAGGGTGGGCATCACATACATGGCTGCCTAACTGTTTTCCTAGTTGTTCCTGAAATATACTCTTAGCTTGACTATCATTAAGTAGGGCCCTAAGAGGTTTCCTTGCAGCGTCTTTCTTACGTCCAGTAAGACGCAAGCAAATACGCGCTCGCACTAGAGCATGATCTGAATCTAGGCATGTGCTCCAGAATGAGCGAGTCTTCTATCGAGCCCCCCCATCGGTGGCTGATAGCGATGTGATCCATTTGGGTCCAACGTTGGGACGAATTAGGGGGTCGCCATGTTAAAAGATGCTTTTTTTTATGCTTAAAGTTAGTATTCGCAAGGAACAGGCGGTTATCTGAGCATAGCTGCAACAGACGGTCGCCATTATCTGTTCTTTGAGTCATGATGCTATAATATCCACCCAGGTGTCTTTCCCTATCGCTTAGTTTACCTACTTGAGCATCAAAGTCACCGGCCGCTATTACTACATCCGAGCGTCAAGCTTTTCGGAGAAGGTCAAAGAGATTTCTGTAAAACTCATCTTTTACATCATCTGAGCTGCAGTCAGTGGGAGAATAGGCAGAGACGACGAAGAGGCAACGACGAGTGTCCCTATCTTTCCGGATCCTTACTGTTCCATTCAGTCGGACAGCGCACAAACGACTGTCTACTGGGATCCACTCTAAGAGAGCAAGTTCTGCCCTAGGACTCAATGCTATACCTACGCCGGCGAGGCCACGGGAAGCACAATCAGGGCTTCCAGATACACGAAGAGTAAATCGAGTCGGTTCTTTATTTTGGCATGGTGAGGTCAAATGAATGACGCTACTTGGATCCTGTATGCGCGTTTCGGAGACGCAGCACACATCGATGGCGCGAGATTCTAAAGTCCTAGCTAAGGAAGCCTGCTGTCCTATTTGGCAAAGTGTTCGTACGTTAAAAGCTCCTACGTGTAGTTTAGAGCGTGGTTTCAGGAGACCAGGAGAAGCGTTCCACGTACTCGAATCGTTTGCTCTAGCGGTGCGAGGTGATAAAGAGACGTGAGGAGGGTTAGTCATGGAGATAAGAGAGGTATTAGGAGGTGTAGGAAGGATTTGAATGTGACCAACTTGGTCTCGTGTGCTGTTACGGGTATGAGGGCTGATGTCACTTCCCGGCTGCCCACACCGTGGAAGGGTATTTATTGAGGAACCTGAAAAGGAAATTGGATTAGTGTTGGTCTTAACGACCTGGGAGCGTGACCGCAGAGCCCAAGGGACAACTGCTTGAGGCCGGTCGCGCACGGCCTTTTCGTGGGGTTTTTTGACGTGTTAGCTCCGTTCTTCAAAGGGCCTTACCGCCGGAGATCCGTGAGGTAAGGTGAGGTGTGACATTTTTAGGGTCGACCTTTTCTAACCCCACCCCTCCTTGTGGGAAGGCAGCATCGCTGTCATGCTGGTTGTCCGAGGGAAACACCTTACTGCTGTCACACCTCTCTACAGTCAGCAGTACGACTTCGCCCTCAGACCTTGAGTTGCTGCTTTTAGTCTTACCGTTCACCAATCGACCTGCCTGGCATGGTAGAACCTACAGGAACATATGTTCCAGCTAATATAGCTCGGTTGGGTCATCACGATAGGCAAGCCCGACCACCGCGTCAAGATAGCAGCTTCGGTCGGGGTTAATATCGACGTTTTTTTCGTCCGAAACACGTATTCAAGACTCTAGTGAAGTACTACAAATTCGCTCTCTATCTATCGCCTCAAAAGGCTTGTTTTACGTGCGTTTATCCGGGAATACGTGTTACGTATGCCCAGCCACCGACTGCTCCGATGTGCGATGTTTCACGGTGTAGGAGTAGGTTGGAACAATGCTAGGAGCGGCCAGACCAAAACATGGCACAAATCCATTAAGTCTCTAACAAGTGGACCGAGCCATATTGGTAGATGTAGGCTACCTGGTTGGGATCCGTGAGACGATAACAACCGATGGTTAGAGACCTTGAATGACATGGCTCAAAATCGTTTGCAGTGGCGTAGGTGCATCTACTCTTTATGTTCTCTCAAGTCTTAATGTTCTAAATTCTTCATGTCCCTTATTTTTTCTCTATCCAAATTTATTTCACTGGATTATACTCTTTTAATAACATCTTCAAACCCTAATCTTTCCGATTACTGCTTATACTTTTACTACCTCTACCACTGCGGGATTTGAATCGACAATTGTATCTGTGTGCTATTGTGGTGAGGCAACTCGAACTGATATACGTACGTACGAAGTTCTACGTTGTTGCTGGTTGACTGAGAAGCATCGATCACGATTAATGCACGCGACTATATGATTAAATACATCTAGCTTTGATTCATTCAACGATAAACATAGAAGACTCTCTGTACTATTCTCTTCCTAGGCTAAACGAATTCAGAATATAAATAACGAATTTGTGGAGAAATCAAATAAGAACGAACAAAGCCAGTTGTTATGGTGCAGAAACATGCTTACGAAGTCCTTGTAAGTAGAACAGAAATGAATATGCAAATAGTGAAAAATCATTTTTGATCGTAGCACTAATAAAGAGTGTTTAATGTAAAAAAATTCAGTAGACAAAGATACAATTCGTAATTTACGAAAACGTAATATTAAAGTCATAAGAGAAATGGTTGGTTGGAGGGATTTTCACCACCACCACCATTTGAACAGAAAAACGACAACTGGCAGACAAGAGGTAAAACAAAGAATACGAATATCAATATAAAAACATGCAAACTATGTACACACACTCACCTTAGACGGGACAAGATCAACCAAAGTCAATAAACGATTACGTGATATACTTGTCTTTCGATGATGATCAATTAATTGGTTAATGGAATCAAATTTAGATAACCAGAAAAAATATTTTCCAGCTTCGTCTTGAAGTACTTTAAAATGAAGAACTTCACAACCTTGTCTAAAGTAGAACAAGTGGAAATAAATGAATGAGTGAGAAACATACACGCGAAAAACTCTATATTAAAAGTAAACAAATAAGCGGATACTAAATAATGTGAACAAAAACTAAAGTAAAATGAAGCGACTCAAATTGATGATGATAAGGATATTTTAGGTAGATTTGGTAGTTAGCAGAACACGCGTTTCATCCTGTTTGGAACCCATCAATTAGATGCACCTGAAACTGTGTTGATGTTCAGATCTGGGCTTGAATCCAGCAGCTTTCGCTTCAAACGCTCAGCGCTTTATGTACTTAGCTACTGAGTATAGATAGCCATGATGTGTTGATCATTTGAATCTTCCCGTCTGTTATGGACTGCAATCGACTAGACTCTTTAAGAACATATGTGCATATTATGCGAACTGCCTTGATACTTTTATAGTGTTTGATCAACACAAAGGGAATGGTGAAGTTTTTTCTGTTACAAATGGCCAGAAGAAATAGTTCATAGGTCTTTAAAAGCCTTATTATTATTATTTATAAAAGTTAAAATATGGAACTGCATTTTTATTTTATTTTGAAGATAGTTTCGGTGAAGTTGCATTCTATGGATTTTTTTGCTAGACATCATTATCATAAATGCAAACTTCAGAAAGAAATGAGATACTGTAAATTTTCCAAGGTCTGTTTTGTTTATTGTTATGATTTTATGTCCGGCTTTTTATCACGTGATTTATCCACCAATCAAGATGCGACTTATACAATCTTAACACTATGCCAAACCAATGAAGTTCAACCGGTATGAGCAGTCTAGCGTCCTTATTGGTCCTATGTCCTCCTAGCCCGTCCACTTGAGTCCAGAACACAATACCAGCTTCTGCGATATGAATCGAATCGTTTATTTCAGGCATACTCCGTTTATATATCAATCAGACAGACCACAACGTACCGTAAAACAGAAAATAACAAGTGTACACAAATAAGCCCAAAAAGTGGCTGTGAATGTGGGAGGCAGTAGTTAATAAACTGAACATAACTTAAGAACCGTAAATCGTATAATAATAAGTTATAGGTCAAAACAATGCTTATAATAAAGGGAATATAAATATACATAATCTAATTGTTGAATAGTTATACAATAAGAATATTTATAGAATATTAGTCCACTAATAGTCCTCGGAAGTTACCCGTAATTTAGTCTTCGCTCGGATATAACATTGACACTGGATTTAATTTGGTTGTTATCAATCACACAGACAAGAGAACACAATATCATCAGAATCATCATCCTGGGTTAAAAATACCTTGTTGCACACTGACATTAACTTGCTAAACATGGATGAGAGGACCATCGATAGCTTCTTGATTATATTTCTGGACTTTACAGCAGTATGCAAATATAATCAAGCCAGGAATCAAATCCAGGGCCAATAGTGGACCAAGTGGGGATCCCATTGCTACACCATCCTTCTGTCTATAAATTACATCGTTGAATGTGAACTGCGCATTACAAGTGCAACGGAGTAATAGTTCCTTCAAATAAACATTCGGTATTCCGATGCTTATCTCACTATTATTTATGTACTCGCAGATCAAACTAATGGTCTCTGTGAGTGGAACATTAATGAATAATGATTCGACATCCAGAGGTAGCATAATTTTGTCACTTACATTCACTTCTTTTATGTGCTCAATAAATTCAACAGTATCAGGTACGGAATGCTTACAAATGTGTTTTCTAACGGGTTCTAGGAGACTTGCCACCCACTTTGTTATACAGTGGTGAGGAGATCCTGACATATCGAGAATCGGTCTAAGAGGTGGGCCAGTTTTGTGTATTTTCGGCATTCCGTATAATCGCGGTATTATTGATGCTGTTGGTTTTATGCGCTCAAAGACATGTTCGTCGATTAACTGATCATTTTTCATTCTTTTAAAAACTTCAATCAGTTGCTTTCCCATAATTTCAGTCTTGTTTTCTCATTGATTGATTCATTGATAAGGACATAAAGCCGAAAACGCCGAAAACACAGATAACTACAGTAGAAAAGAAAACTTTTACATGAACATCGGGTTCAAGGGTGACAGAGCAACACACACACCCTAAAAAGGAGAATTTCCGATTCTTTAAAAAGAACATTCCGCGCAACAACATTGCGAATAGTATTCTCCAGCCGATCATTGTTCACCAACAACCATAAAAATAAATTATCGCATCCGACCAACTCAATGTGCATTTACCAATTTACCTGCTCATGTAGAGCTGGGTATATAGGTCGTCCGATGCGTACTTTATCCAAAAGAATTCAAGAACATTGTCCGGTGTGGCTAAAAAGAGGAGGCAACGGCTCAATAAGAAGGTCAATAGTCGAACACCATGTGAAAATAGGTCACTCAATCAAGATAGACTCCGCGTTCTAAGTCATCTACAAGGTAAGTAGATGTTTTCTGAAGACCATTAGACTGCATCTTCTTTGCACTGCCGAAGCATTAGCCATACATCTGGAAAAATAATAATTGTGTACGCAAAAGAGATTGGTACAACCTCTTCTGTTACCATGGTCTTAATGTCTGATAGTTTCTTTTCTTTTTTCTTTTCTCATACTCTTCTTCCTTTACAGCCATCTGCTTCACTTTCCATCTTCCCCTTAAATCTTCTACCCCTAACTGGTTTAGTTTTGCTTCTACTATCATCCTGATTGCATTTAATCTTAATTTCAACATTTTATCTTATCATGCTGAGCCATCCTTTCCCAATGATAATTTCCCTATCTTTTGGTGAATACTGAAGCCATTAACAATCAAATGATTATTAGACTTCCATTGTTTGTTTGTTTTTAATTTTCAATACATTTGTTTATTTGACCTTACTGTCACCATGTATAACAGAAGTTTATTATCAGTATTATTATCATCCGGTAAAAATAAGTATATGTATTTGCGATTGTACAGCTTTGAAGATGAATTCGCCGAAAAGAGAACTCTTCGCTGAACTAATCTTTCTTATTTAATGTCTTAATGAGTGTATTACGTTTACTTACTGTACTTGTATCAAAATTCTGTCAACCACCAACGCAAGATCTACGGGACTACCGTTAAAATCGATAAAATCAAAAAAGAGGAGTACAAAAATGGTGAGTAATGTAGTTTAGTACCCAGTTATGGGTCAGTTGGAGATAGGTTATAAGGAACTAGAAATAAGTGGCTATCATAATAGGGATGTTGAATAGATAGCGTAACAAACGAAAGCCGGTGCTCAAAGTGCTGACATGTATGGTACTTGAACGGTTGATGTTGGTTTTTTAACTGCTTCCTATTCCGCAGAAATCGTCTACACTTGAACCCCAAACAGAAGATAGAAGATGGGAAATTTGATAAAAGTTTTACTTTCAGGGTTAGTTTAGGTAAGTAAAACAAGGATATTTGTAATTTTACGTCTGACCCTGATATTCTAAAAGCTTATGGAAACATGTCAAAATTAGTAAAATAATAGTTAATTATACAAATGAGATATGATGCATAATCTGTTACTTCGTAAAATCCTCTTGAAAGTCCATAAAAATATTTTCTATGAAGAGTAACAATTCCATATGTCTTACCAAACTTCGGTAGGGGGTGTGATTTCTAAGTCCACTATTCGTAAGTGCCTATGTCGACAGATCACAAAACTGTAATGCCAGAAGATCACAGCCTCAGTTTATAATTTAGTGAATAAAGTAACCAACAATTAAAAGTATGTGATTTTTCATACACTCAACATTACATTGTCTTTGAATAAAGATGAATTACACACTAATTAATATAATAAGACATCAATTTTCTAGAAAAAATTTGAAGAGATAATACGTGATACATAGGTTGAGTTGCGCAAAGGCCGACTGACTATCTACAGTCGTATTCAGTAGCCGCAAATAATATCAACGTACTTTAGACTCGAATATTTCCTCATGTTCGTATATTACTTCTCTAAGATCTTAACGTAGTAGTCCTTTGAGGTATTATTAAGTAAACGTCATAAACAATTACGCAATACCTTTACATAGTATCTAGTACTTAGTGGAGCGAGAAACGGAATATTAGTAGTACTAAATTTTAAGAAATATATAACACTCTTTAGCAAAGTATGAAAAGAAAAATATTTACTTGCCAGGTGAGTTGTATTTCATTTTCTCCCTTCAACTAAGTCTTATCCTAACGTAATTTTTGTAGTCACTGACCATGTGATCTCATATACGTTTAAAATAGCTGTATTTTCATTTAAAAACCCGTAGTTGTATTGTGAGTCAAATGATTTAGGTTGTTATTAATTATGAGCAGAAACCTAGGTACTGTTTGACATGTTAATCACCAATAAACAACGTAGAACATGGAACATACGTATATCCCTTCAAATTGCACAGCAGTACAGAGAGATATCAAAGCAGTGTAGGTAGAGTATTAGTGGTAGTGGTAAAGATTAAAGATTAGAGAATATTTGTGAAAATACAGGTCTGTGGAGTAAAAAAAGTATGAATTTATGAACTTGAGACATTAGGTAGCACAAAAAATAAATGAACCTGTGCTGTTGTGAACGATTTTGATCTGTCACTCAGCGTTTCCAACGTCTGATTACGAAAATCATGTGAGCACCAACCAGGTAGTCTGCACCTACTTACAAGCCTTATTCCAAGAGCTGACCATGTCCTAGACTGATGCTACGTCTAAATTTGGGTCCACCTAACTTTATTCTAACCTACTCCTACATCAGACATTGTCACGCGTCGAAACGCGGTGTGGTTAGGCATGTGTGACATATGTTACAACCACCGGTTGATGGAGATCCCTAACTTCAACCGATTCCTTATCTTTACCCTGTACCTTATACTCAACCATGTTGACCACTTGATGATCCCAACATACACCAGCACTGCTTTAAAGTGAATATATAATCAAACAATAGCGACCTACGAATGCCCTCTAGTCCAAAGAGGCATATCTCAAAGTTGAACAGAGCAAATTGATGCTCAGTATACTACCCCTTTGGTTGGTAGACAGACCATTACGAAGGAATTATTATCTTACTGACTAATTTCCTTTTAAATATTCCACACGACGCTTAGAAATATGACTGAAGTTGTGACCTATATGCACTATTTTTATTCACCGAGGTCAGTTATTCCTATCTACCACTTAGGATGGCATCATTATTTCGGATTAATTTGGCTTAAGGTTTGATACACAAACCCATACTTAGGTTCTGAGTAAAAAAGACACGTTCAGCATGGAGGAAAGGATAATCCGAGAAAGCATGTGTCAAGTGATTATCTGGAACTGGGATGTTTTTATTGAACAAAACTTACTTGACGGACAAACTAAATCCTTTACCGTCTGCTTCACTTTGACGCAATATAAAAGCTCCATCTGGTTGCAAATGTTGTGCTGTTTCTTGATCGATTTCTTGAAGTCTTTCTTCGGCTTCCATACGACTACAGTGTCGGATGTACCAAGGGTGAGGACGCATCGTGATGTAATTGCACGGTATTAAACCTGTTCGGCCTTCCTGTTCGGCTAGGTACCAGTTAGGATCGTCTTCCACACATAGTATCTATGAAAGTGAGTGATACGTATGTAACGCAAATGGATAATTTTTGAATGCTAAAAGTCGAGGTTAGTATGAGTGATTCCAAAAAATGAGACAGGAACTGACATAACGATTATACACGACACTACCCAGGTAACAAAGTAAGCAATTTATGGTATATGGATAACACCTTTCTTAACCTTTTATTAAACACAATAACAACAGCCTGACTATATAACTGAGCTTCACTTTGTTTTAAGATTTATAAGGTCGAACCATTTGTGAAAAAACAATTGTTCTTATTCATTCTCTACAGTTGGCTTGTTGTGACTGTATGTTTGCTTTTTATACGAGTATAAGGCTCATTTTTACTCTGCAATAGTCATTTCAAGCTCTTAGGGTTTAAAAATGATCCAAGGGAAAGTGGTTCTCGCTCTACAAAGTATCGTGACACAAAGCATCAATGGATGGAATGAAGAGTCAAATAAAATAAACATAGTTCAAACAAAAACATTGGAGATTAGGCAATGTTCACGAGATATCATAATTAGGCTGAAGCTGCTTTAGTAGTTTCATAACAACGCTCGGAGGACTTCCCATGGGAGACGCTTACACGAACGACGACATAGAATCACCAAAGGAAAACACATTTGACCACCATGATTCAAGTTACAAAGGCTGTATAGGATACAAACTGCAACCTTAGAAAGAAGTCAATAGGATTATACCATAATATTATAGTTTAAATAACTTGATGTGACTTACTAACAAAATGTACGGATATTACCACTTGATGCTGATCCATTTTTTAATAGGAGAAACACTATTTGGCTGTTTGAGATGAAATAGAGGGTGTTTAAACTTTATAGAAAGACTAGCTAGGGGACCACCACTGAGTATTACCAAACCAGTCAGTTACTTTAAGGAGATCCGATTTTCAAAAATATCATGGATAACACTTCGTTAGAGTAGTGATCACTAGCATAATTTGTTGCTGAGGTTCATTTCGCCAAATTTACGAAAGTGAAAATTCTAATTTATAAATCAACAGACCTCTGTTTATACTCTCAACAACTTAGTAATGATCTGCTGCAGAATAAGAACGCATATTACGAAAAATGTTTCGCAAACAGCCATGGAAATATAATCGGCTGTTTAGCTGATGAGTGTTAAAAATCAGACTACACAAAAATAGTAACGGTGAAGACCTTAACAGGACTTGAGTTTCATAGGTATACCAAAATAAAAACACGTGGGTGAATAGGTAGAGTGAATTCCAATGTTTTCGGGCATTTCGAGGCGGAGTGAAATACCAAGAAAGTTTTCCATTTATCCATTAATAGGTTTTTATCGGTAAAGCCTCATTTATTACTTTAGTTCGGATCAGAAGTATGGATATGACAGTATGATCAAAAGCAAACACCTTGTACTTAGACCTGACCGTTCGATATGTATGGCCCACTCAGTGAGCTGCAAAGATTTAACCACCATCTTAAGCTAAACATATATGCAATGAATATACAAAATTATAACACTGAAGCTTATTATGGAAGTGCGCCACATTGTGCTATGTGATTATGTAATATTACTTACCTTTAAGAGACTTCCTTTTTTAAATCCAAGTTCATCTTCAGCGTTGGCAACGAAATCATAGCTAGCCTCAGCCTCCATCCCAAGTCGGAGTAACAACCCAACACGAAGCACTTAGGCACAAGGTCAATGGAAAGGGTAGCGGGATATTTGTAACCATTGAGAGGTGAGGTTAGGTTGGAATTATACGTCACATTTTGAGTGTAGGGATTGATATTACTCAGACAATTACGTGGATTACTACTATGTGAGATTTTCTCATATACATGAACTAAGTAGATCTAAGCGCATGAGTGAAACAACTTCAACGTAATCACTAAATTAACTTTGCAGCTTTTATTATGGCAGTATGATAAACGTTTAAAGAATTCGGAGTCTGTTTCCACGAGTTCTTGAATTTCATGGAGCCTTTACACTTTTAATATTGTATTATTGCTAATTATTATCAGTGGTTCTTGTTGGTAAGTGTGACTTCTGTGTGCTGATTCATCGACACACTTGTAGCGGTAAATAAATCCCCAAAGTCAGTAGCTCTGTAAGTCTTTGACATTTGGGGCTCACTACATTAATTTTAATGGACCCATCTAGCTGAAGGCTCTCGGTCATGCATTTGTAGTGACTCACGTTTATCACGAGAACACGACTGGTTTAATAAAAACAATTATTATTATAACCAACTGTACCAGTGTTTGTTTTAATGTGCTTTTGTTTAACTGTGCTAATTGTAGCCATTTTGTGCTTCCATTACCTTCCATCATTGTTCCGCGGTTTTTGGTACTGTTCGCACGTACTCCTGTCTTCTGCTTCCACTTGTACCACTTCTTGGCACGATCTCGGTATTCGTTCAATACCACGAGATCGCCAACGAAATAAATCTGGTTACGTTCAACCTCGCCTTCTGATTTGTCTGGCACGTGTTTCTGGTAGCGGTGTTTACAGTTGATCTCAACTCGACGCCACGCTACATTGGTGATCCCAAAGTTTGGAACACGCCTCAACCTCGGGTCAAATCTTCCAAAGAAGTCAATTTGGTGAGTCTATTATTTATCTATCCACGTCTGTCGTATATTTTTATATTAATTTTTAATATATAATATACACGACATGACGGATAACGATAAGAATACTATTAATGTTATAGACTCAGATGTACAGGCCATTCATTTTCGACCTGTATCATTTATCCCCCACGACCCTGAGGTCTGGTTTGCTGCGTTAGAGTCTCAGTTCGAGACTCGTCGCATCACGAGCCAAAGGCAAAAATACGCCTACGCTCTCGAGTCATTACCCGGGGACCACTTAGTAGCTGTTCGTGAGGTAGTCCTCAATTCTAACGTGCCTAATGTTTATGACCGCCTCAAGGAGGCCATTCTCCGACATTTCCTCCCATCAAGGGAGGAACGATTGAGGACCCTGTTAGCACGTCACCCCCTGGGTGATGCTAAACCTAGCCACCACCTCACGCGCCTGCAATCTCTTGCAGGACCAACAGCAAGTGACTCAGAAATAGTTAAGGAATTGTGGCTTGAGTCACTACCAGCGCATATCCAACCAACTGTGACGGCACTGCTCGAGGACTCACCGCTTAACCAGGTAGCCCTTATAGCAGATAAAATTTTAGCGAGGACTAGTAATAGAGACACCTATGTAGTCGCCTCGACGGCACGTCCTAATGTAGACATGGACGCCGGTCATTCCACAGCTCATGGTGACAGGGCCGGGTGTATTCACACACGTCTTAGTTTTCGAGACCGTTGTAACGTACCCCAACCCTACGTCCCCCGAGCTCGCTCAAGTTCTCGCAAACGCGTCACCACTCGCCCAAAAAGGGCATCTTCCAAGCCACGCCGAAAGGCGGCTACGGAAGCGAGTGACAGTTGGTGCTGGTTCCATAGGTCCTTTGGGTCTGGCGCCCGCCGTTGTCGAGCACCATGCTCATACAAGGCGGGAAACGCCAGCGCCGGCGAGTAAAAGCGGCCGTACTCGCCGGCCCTTCACCCCAGGTTGGCCGTTTATTCTATGTGCACGATTACCGCACGAACGCTAGGTTCCTAGTAGACACTGGGGCCCAAGTTTCTGTCGTACCACGAGGTAGCAGCAAGTCACAAGCCACAGTGCTTCGACTACGCGCTGCGAATGGCTCAGTCATTCCTACCTACGGTACACGACAACTCGCGGTCAACCTGGGCAACGGACGACGGTATCTGTGGACGTTCATCATTGCTGATGTTCCCACAGCCATACTAGGTATCGATTTTCTACAGCACTATGAATTGCTTGTCGATTCACGTAGGCTGCAGCTAATCGATACTTCGTCGAACAGCAAATTCATGGGCTGTAAAGCCCACATGAACGCGTACCGAATCCTCGGCACTTTTTACTCGCGTGACGATAAATTCCACGCTTTATTCGAGAAATTCCCCGTACTCACTAAACCACTCGAGGAGCTTCCATCGGTGACCAATCGTGTGGTACACCACATAGTCACCCGCGGACCGCCAGTCACGGCACGACCTCGCCGACTGGCACCGGACAAATTAGCTTTTGCTAAGCGTGAGTTTGACAATTTACTAGCTACTGGTATTATTCGTCCTTCTCACAGTCCATGGGCCTCTCCTCTACATATGGTGCGCAAAAAAGATGGGGTTAGTTGGAGACCATGCGGCGACTACCGAGCTCTAAACGTAGTTACGCGCTTTGATAGCTACCCCATCCCCCACATACACGACATCACGGCATCGCTCAAGGGCACGACTATATTTTCTAAGATCGATCTGGTACGAGCATATCATCAGATCCCAGTCGCTCTTGAAGACATTGAAAAGACTGCTATCACGACTCCTTTCGGTTTGTTTGAGTTCCTACGAATGCCATTTGGATTACGGAATGCTGCTCAAACTTTTCAAAGGTTTATCGATAGCATTGTACGAGACCTCGATTTTGTTCACGTCTATATTGATGACCTGCTAATCGCATCATCAAACGTAGATGAACATTATCAACATCTTACGCTATTATTCCAACGCCTTTCGGATAACGGAATAGTAGTTAACCCAGACAAATGCGAGTTAGGTAAACGAGAAATAATATTTCTGGGTCATGTTATCAAGCAAGAGGGTATTCTACCTTGTGAGGACAAAGTGCAAGCAATAAAGGAGTACAACGTGCCGTCCTCACTCAATGAACTGAAAGCTTTTCTCGGTTTGGTTAACTTCTACCGTCGTTTCATCCCACACGCGGCAGAACGGTTACGACCACTAACCGACTTATTACGCGGCAATCCACGCAGATTGGAAATGAACGATTCTGCACGTACTGCATTCACTGAAATCAAAATGGCTCTTGCGCAAGCCACTCTTCTCGCCCATCCCGATCCATCAGCCACGCTTAGTATAGCGGTTGATGCATCCGATGTTGCTATAGGAGCAGTCATGCAACAAAACATCTCCGGTAGTTGGCAACCTCTCGAGTTTTTCTCACGACGCCTCACTACCACGGAGACGAGATATAGCGCTTTTGGTCGCGAGCTGCTAGCAGCCTACTGCGCCATCAAACATTTTCGGCACGCAGTAGAAGGACGTCAATTCATTTTATTCACCGACCATAAGCCCTTAACGTATGCTTTGCATACCAAGTCTGACCGCTACTCACCACGAGAGTGCAGACATTTGGACTATATCTCTCAGTTCACGACAGATCTTCGTCACATCCAAGGCAAGTCGAACTGTGTTGCCGATGCTCTATCACGAATCCAAATGAATGCAGTTACCTTGCCGGTGCTCGATCTTCCTGCTATGGCCGCTGCCCAAGCAAACGATCCAAGTTGTACAAAAGCACCACACTCTACGTCTCTTCAATATCAGGAAGTACCTCTAGCCACGACTTCTGGCACCATTCTATGTGATACGTCTACCGGTCCTCCTCGACCCACCGTACCCTCTGCTTATCGCCGTCTCGTATTTGATGCCCTGCATGGATTATCTCACCCAGGTATCGCAGCTACTTTACGCCTCATCGCTGCACGATACGTCTGGCCGTCCATGAATAAAGATGTTCGTATGTGGGCGAAGCAATGCTTACAATGTCAACGATCAAAAGTGCACAGGCACGTAGCCGCCCCCCTCGGTACATTCGCTACGCCTGATGCTCGCTTCGATCACGTTCACTTGGACATTGTAGGACCACTGCCACCATCGCACGGGTATGATTACATACTCACGTGCATCGACCGCTTCACCAGATGGCCCGAAGCTATACCCATCACGTCTATCACGGCGGAGACAATTGCTCACCGCTTCGTAGAACGATGGATAGCTCTATATGGTTGTCCCTCGACCGTCACGACTGACCGAGGACAACAATTTGAGTCCGCACTATTCTCCTCACTTACTCGGCTGCTTGGTACGGAACGCATACGCACTACCGCCTACCACCCAGCTTCTAACGGTTTAGTTGAAAGGTTTCACCGTCAACTTAAAAGTGCTCTTCGAGCACACGAAAACGACGACTGGTACGAAACCTTACCGCTCGTTCTTTTAGGTATCAGAACGAGTTTAAAGGCAGATATCCAATGTTCCGCCGCTGAACTTGTATACGGCACGACATTGCGTCTGCCCGGGGAATTTTTCACACCACGGAGCAGACCTAATTTCGCTAAATCAGACTACGTCCAACGACTGTCTGCATTTATGCGAACGCTGTCTCCGGTGTCAACTCGAATACAACATCGACGGGTCGCTCTCCCTCGCGAGTTATCTACCTGTTCACATGTTTTCATACGAGTAGATTCGGTACGCAAACCTTTGCAGCAACCTTACGAAGGCCCTTTTCGCGTGATCGCTCGTCACGAAAAGACCTTCAAGGTTGATCGACACGGCCGCGTCGAGATCGTCAGCATTGATCGTCTCAAACCAGCACACGTCGATGACAGTGCCCTATCTGGTAACCTGAGATTCAATGCTAGACTTATCAAACCTAGCGGGATCCTTAAATCTCCTTCAGGTCCCACGCTAGATACATCTGAGACCTCATTCTCACGTCCCGGTCAACAGCACGCGTCATCTGCACCGTCTACGGACGAG